TATATATGAAATGTATCAACCCTGGTGCCCTGACTGCTTATCGCATTTCTTGAGGCCCTAAAATGCCAAGACAGTAGAAACACCCACAAACTGACCCCATTTTGGAAATAAGATACTCCAAGGTATTTGATAAGATGCATGGGGAATGCTTTCAAGATTAATTTTTTGGCACAAGCTATCAAAATATATATATTTTTTTATTTATTTATTTTACACAACATTGTCAGTTAATAAGATATATCTTATGGGCACACTTAGAATTATACCCAAAAAAAACATTATGCTCCTTCCAAGTATGGGGATATTACATATGTAAGACTTTTTTTTGCTGCCTAGCCACACAGAGGAGCCCACACTCCAAGGAGCACCTTAAGGTTTTAAATAGGCATACATTGCACTTCTGTTTTTCTGACAACCTATCGCATTTGTGGAGGCCCTGAAGTGCCAGGAGAGAATAAATGCCCACAAAATGACACAATTTAGGAAAGCTGACACCCAAAGGTATTTGATAAAATATATAAACAAAAACACATAGGAGGGCTGACTACATAGTGTAGAAAGTACAAGGGTTAACTATAGATCGGGACTGACCAAATTTAAAATATGGTAGAAAAATATTTTATTTGTATACAAAATGACCACAGCCAACACCTTCTTACCAACACATTAAAAACAGTGAAACAAAAATACTGACTGTAATTCAAATAATTGTTTGATCGGATATTAAGACCATATTATTATGCACATACATATCAAGACCACAAAAAAACGGCTTTCAATTGGGCTCCAGATAAAAGGGATTAACCCTGTGTAGACTAAGTATCACCTAAATCAAAAAACATATACTAAATCCAATAGGATGCCTCCAAATTTTTTAGTATATGTCTATATTCGACAAACAAATGCTATATAGTAGCTCCTTTGATGGATAAATTCCCAGAATACGGGAGTTAGATACTTTGTAATTTAAAGCAGAGTATATTGTTTCCAAGCCATCAGAAGGGCTCTTTTTAGACTCAGTGTCTCAGATCAAGGTGCTTTTTCCAAAGCAGATTAAACAGATAGTAGGTGTAAACAATAAATGGATCTGATTGTGGAAAGTGACACCTAAATTGGTGTGAGTGGACCATGACATAAAAGTCTTAAAAGTCACCTGGGTTTTAATTTCAATATAGAAAGATAGCTGATTCCACTATTCCGTACAGAATAGATTTAAATGTCCTACTCACATAACGAAATCGTCTGTTTTACGGATGTCCGCTTTTAGATCCTTTCGATGATGGAATTATTTTTCTCCTTGGAACAGAATAAGCAATCTAGATCAATCCGGGAGTGTATTGTATGTATTCCATAATATATCTCAGTTTCTCCCATCCTAAACCATATTTTGTGATCATTCGTGTAAAGCTTTTTTCTTCCTGCTCTAAATGTTTGTTGTTTTCCTGGCATTTATCCTTAAGTATTTCCGCTCTTGTTTTTTCGTTTACTTTTATTTTACTTCTTTTTAAAGTCCTATGTGAATGTCCACGTTCTCTAAACCTACTATATAGGACTTTGGATTCATTAGCATAGTCTGTATGTTTACTGCAATTTCTTTTGATCCGGAGAACATGACCAGTTGGAATTCCTTGAATAACTAAATGTGCCGAGCTAAAACAATGATCAGATATAAAGAGTAAAAAAAATAAAAAAACAGTGACTCAAACAAATGTCAGTGAAAAAAATCAATCAGGTGTAAAGTCTTTAAATCTTCATAAATCCGCGAAAGATGTCCAAATATAGCAATAGTGATGAATATTACTTGTTCCTTCACCAAATGCACCACGTGCACCACACCAGATATAGGGGTGCTCACCTTATTGATAGACCCCAGCAAGAGGTCAAACCAGGCAATTCCCTTCTTAACCAGGGGAGGGGGCCCTCAGCTCCAATCGCTCACAGATGTCCTCCAATGGTTTATTCAGACCAGCAAACAGATCTGTGCAACACTTCTTAAATAGGAAAGCAATAGCCTCCAATCTTTATTGATCTATAGGCCTCCTCAGTATAAGGTGTCAATGCCAGGATCGTGTTGACCGAAAAAAGAAAGCAAACACCATAGTGCGTACCATCCAAAGTATGATTTATTAAAAGAAAATTACTCACATAAAAGCAGTGCTAACATAGCATGGACTCTCTCTTAAAAGTATGTGCAAGAGTTTCAAATGACTGACGGCCGCAGTCATTTGAAACTCATAAATTCATTTCAGTACAGCGTTGCATGACGGAATAAATGTCAGTCAAAGTACTGCAGCGCTGAATACTGAAAAATGGCCTGGCCAGGAAGGGGGTCTAAACACCTGGTCTTGAAGTGGTTAATATCCGATCAAACAATTATTTGAATTACAGTCAGTATTTTTGTTTCACTGTTTTTAATGTGTTGGTAAGAAGGTGTTGGCTGTGGTCATTTTGTATACAAATAAAATATTTTTCTACCATATTTTACATTTGGTCAGTCCCGATCTATAGTTAACCCTTGGACTTTCTACACTATGTAGTCAGCTATCCTATGTGTTTTTGTTTATGTAATTTGCCGGTTACCGATGTGGTAGACTGACCTCCTAAAAAGGGTAATTATGAGAGCTTGGAATCTCCGGGAGGAAAACAATTCCAATTGTTCGATTTGATAAAAGATATGCTGAGTCTTTTGAAGATTGAATTTTTTCCACAGGTTTTTACAAAAATTAAGAAAAAAATGAAAATGTTGTCAATTTGACAAAGTTGTCAAATGTTGACAAAGTTGTCAATTTATATGATATTTCTAACACACAGCATAGGTATCCTTAGAATTACAACTAAAAACACATTCTGCTACTCCTCCTGAGTATGGGGATACCATGCATGCGAGACTTTTTTGCAGCCTAGACAAATAGAGGGGCCCAAGATACAAGGAGTACCTTGAGGCTTTCAAGGGGCATAAACAGGGGGGAAGGGGAAAACAGACACCCCATGGTATTTGGAGGCATGGTGAGTTCTGACAATTTCATTTTTTTGACACAAGTTTTTAAAAAATGAAAAAAGAAACAAATTTTTTTTTTCTACACAATGTTGTCAATTCAGAAGATTTATCTAACACACAGCATAGACATCCTTAGAATTAAGCCCCAAAACACATTCTGCTATTCCTCCTCAGTATGAGGTTACAACAGATGTGAGACTTTTTGGCAGCCTAGCTGCATAGAGGGGCTCAAAATCCAAGGAGCACCTTGAGGCTTTGAAAGTGCATAAATTACTCATCTGATTTCCTGACCTTTTTGGAGGCCCTAAAGTGCAAGGGCAGCAGA